TTCCATAGATATGGCAGTTAAAAGTGGTGTCAAATTGCATTCATTCTACAGTAGTCAGTGGTCTCCAACCTTTGGGTCTCCAGGTGTTTTGGACTTCAGCTCCCACAGTTCTTAACCATTCTTAACAGCTGGTAAACTGGCTGGGAGTTGAAGTCCAAAACACCTGGAGAACCAAAGGTTGGAAACAACTGGCATACATATGTGAGAGGAAGTCATAGGGAGGAGGGAGCAAGCTTGTTTTCTGCTTCCCTGGAGACTAGAACGTGGAACAATGGCTTCAAACTACAAGAAAGGAGATTCCATCTGAACATGAGGAAGAACTTCCTGACTGTGAGAGCCGTTCAGCAGTGGAACTCTCTGCCCCGGAGAGTGATGGAGGCTCCTTCTTTGGAAGCTTTTAAACAGAGGCTGGATGGCCATCTGTCAGGGGTGATTTAAATGCAACATTCCTGCTTCTTGGCAGGGGGTTGGACCGGATGACCCATGAGGTCTCTTCCAACTCTTTGATTCTATGACATGCACCCTAAGAGTATGTGACTTGTTCATAGTCACTTGTTGGGTTTCCAGACCAAGCAAGGATGAAAACCCTTGACCCCAAAGTCATAGCCCAACACTCAAAACACTACATCATGGCTTTGTTCCCATTAGAACATACTGTTACCATCTTAACCAAATATTATCTACTTTGACTATAGGAATATTTCCCCTTCTGCCATATCTCTGACAAGAGTCTTTACTATCAACCTGCTACTTCATCTTTTTTTACCAGAGATAGCAGAGATTGGACCTATGACATTCTTCACTCAAAGTATAGGCGATCACTGTGCTTTGATTTATGCATCCTGACAGGTTTGTCAGTGATTCAAATGTAAATTTCCAGATATTGGAAACATTCCTTATTTACACTACACTTCCCAATCACCCACAAATACACACAACTTTAAAACCACCGAAGCCATAATGCAGATGCTGGAAATTTTCGCTCAAAAAAATCCCTGCGCCCAAGATCTGCTTCAATACATAATTCCAAACAAGTCAAAACAGGACATTTGATCAGGAATGAGATAAGATGCATTTGCTATTTTTCATGTTCTACATCATCAACGTACCATCAAGTTCTTTCTCCCAAAAGGCTACCATCATTTCTGTGTATGCCTTCCATGCTCAAGCATGATTCTCCGCAAATACTAAAGTAAGATGGAACAATGGCTTCAAACTACAAGAAATGACATTCCACCTGAACATGAGGAAGAACTTCCTAACTGTGAGAGCTGTTCAGCAGTAGAACTCTCTGCCCCAGAGTGTGGTGGAGGCTCCTTCTCTGGAGACTTTTAAACAGAGGCTGGATGGCCATTTGTAATAGATAAAACATGTACAGAAATCTTTATATCTAGAGAGACTTGTATAAAAATATGCTGTATAGATCCGAAGAGGAGGAAAATCCGATTTTAGATTTGTAAGGGGTGCTTTGAATTCAATTTTCCTGCTTCTTGGCAGGGATTGGACTGGATTGCCCCAGAGGTCTCTTCCAACTCAAGGATTCTATGATTCTGTATGGTGAGATGGGAAAATGTAACTCTCCCAATTACAAGTCCCAGTTGTGAAGCTGCAGTCCAGCAATATCCAAAGGGCTATACATTCCCCATTCTTTTCCTAATATATTATCTGGCTGAACATCAGACATCATATCAGTAATAGTGCAACTATTCAATGCTGTTTTTACAGCCCGTGCAACTAAGCTCCATCTGTTCTCCTTATTCATTTATTCATATTTTAAGTGTTCCTTTTCTCTTTTAATCAATACTATGATAACCATCATTATTGGTTCCCATTTTCCAGTAGGGTATTAGAAACAGACAAAAGATGTACCTAGAGTGTCCTAAATAGCCCATGACAGAAGAGATGCTTGGGCCAACTTCTTTTAAACCAGTAGATTCCCCTCTTGTCTCCCCAGACATTGTTGGCCTTTGATATCCTGGAGTATCAGTCAACTTGGACAATGTGAGGGATCGTGGGAGTTGTAGTACAACAAAAATCTGGGGCTCCTTCTGTTTTAGACCCATATTCAATGCTCATTCCTGCCACCTCTGACTCTTACTAAGACATTCTTACACGGTTTTAATGGACCAATTGGACTGCAAGCTTGCATCCATTTCCCTAGAAAATACTTCTGAACAGACATGTATAGGGCTGTACTCTCTCCCCACCACCACAAAGAAGAATTTCCATTAAGTATTCACATGTAATAGCATGTCCCAGGGACTGAGGGGGATTAGAAAGATTTACTTCCAAAAGAAACATATTTAGAATGAGATGAATGCAGGGAACCGTTACAATTAATGTCCAAATTTTGATCAATACAAACATTCACATATGCATAGTGACAATATCAGATGAATTTTGTGAAGGCTCCTAAATAAATTTATTCATTTCCCCATTTTTAAAATACTCTTCACCAGTATTCAGAATTAAAGGACTGTATTCAGCAATGCATTGTTGAATTTAGAAACTTTTAAAAATTGTCCAGGGCTGTCAGCAGTTGCATGTCTACATTTACCGAACTTGAAGTGTTTGGCAAAGCCATTCATCTTTCCAGTGCACTATCATGCAAGTGTTAATAGATCCTGAATTACAGATAAGCATGTCTATTTCACCTAAATTTGCGTAACCACTCTCAGGAAAGTAGCTAAAGCAAACAAGCATCACACAGGCTAGCAGATTAGTTGCCAAAAATATTACAGGACCCCTTCCTTTTATGCTTTTCACTTCTGATCTCTGGGGTTGATGATGCACATAGGGCAATCCAAGGCAAGGATGTATAGCCCATGCTCTGCCTTACCCTCCCACCCTTCCTCCCTCCCTCTGATTTCTATCATATCTCCATCACAACCTCTACCTCCTGCAGTTTAATCACCTGGCCTTCTCACTAGGTGAACTGTGGTGGTGAGAAGTCATGGAGAGAATGGGGTGGGGGAAGGCTCTGTTTAAATAATAGCCTTTACTTGAAAAATGTTAGCAACCTCATCAAGCTGCACTTTTCCTGGATCCACCAAGAGGGGGCTGTTCACTCACCACTACAAATACCAAAATATGGTCCCATGATGCCCAGGGCAAATGGAGTACCCTAGTTCCCAGATCCTCCTGCTGTTTACTAAGCAGACATCCTACCAAACTCTTTGACTAACATATCCTATTACAAATAGGTTCACCATTTCCTCAGCCCGTATACTCTGCCCTGCAGAGTTATGTTATGCCAACAAGCATGCATATAAACCCCCTCCACAGCCTGCACCGGCCAAATCTTATCTGGGTGAAGGAACTGTATTTTTCTATAAAGGTTTAATATGGTTTGCTGAAGGCTTTCATGGCCAGGTTGCTATGAGTTTTCTGGGCTGTATGGCCATGTTCCAGAAGCATTCTCTCCTCTCACTGTCCTGGAGCGTGGTGGAGGCTCCTTCTTTGGAGGCTTTTAAACAGAGGCTGGGTGGTGGCCATCTGTTGGGAGTGCTTTGAATGCCATTTTCCTGCTTTTTGGCAGGAAGTTGGACTGGATGGCCCATGAGGTCTCTTCCAACTCTATTATTCTATGACAGCCATAGATGGGGCAGAACGTTAGACAAGAATGCTTCTGCTACATGGCCATACAGCCCAGAAACTCACAGCAACTCAACATTCATAGATTTCCTGGAGTGTAAATCTGTACTCGTATAAATGGCACCATTCAAAATTAGTGGGACATAAAGATCATGCATTCCTTTCCTCACCCAAACAAAAAAACCCACAGTATTAATGCCTACATCGGCACTTTTGCACACACACACACATATGTGCAAGCAGGCTGCCAGAAGTGTGTGCCCAGCAGCTATTCCTGCGCACGTCGGGCTGCAACTGCACTTGGATTTATGCCCCTCTCTGGCTAGACCACGGCTCTGTAATACTACCAGCAGTCGCTTTGCTCTAGTATCCACCCGGAGATGAGGATGTGCTGCAATTGTTTGCCTTCTTCCCATGTTCTGGTTCTTTAGGGCTCCCTGCTCTGAGCCGTGTGCCCCAAAGGAGGATGTTGCCTATTAGAAAATACATACCCACCTGTTTCCACAGAAACACCCTCCCCTTGACAAAAACATGTAAAATATATTGCATGGATTGGACAGCCCACTCACAACTTGTACAGGCATGCCAAGCGGTATCCATGCCTGACATGGTACAAATGGCCACATCTCATCCAGAACACACAGTTGGGTCAACCTTAATAACATATATATATGCCGGGCAGGCACACATGTAGGCATGCAGAGAGAAAGAAAGCCTCTTCTGTCTCAAGACTCAGCCAACTGCTTCTCCCCATCACCCCAAATACAAAACCCACGCACAAGCAAGCGCTGTCCGCCTCTCTCTCCGCAAAGAGCCCCTGCCAAAGTTTACTGTGATGACACAGAAGCAGAGGAAGATGCAGGGCTGGGATTCTCCTCCTGTTGCCACCACCAGACTCCACCATCACCAAATGGGGAGGGGAGGGGGGGAGATCAAGCCCTCCCTCCTGCTGCTAATATTCCTGCAAATCCTGGAAAAGAAATCCAGCCAAAACACAGCTGCACGCAGGAGGCTTAAGAACTCAATTGGGGAGGAAGGGAAGAAGGGAGGGAGCAGGGGCAAGCTGGAACACACATGTGTCCATTCTCTGGTCGCCCATCCTTCACCTGTATTGCCTTCCCCAGAGGCTCCTTCCCACATTTTTTTTCTCCCATAGATACCTCATTTTTCCTTCCTGGGGATCGAAGAAAGAGGGGGTGGAGAAAGAGGGAGAAGGGAAATGAATGGATCCCTCTCCTCCTGCAGGCAACACACACACACATACACACACACTGGGAGGAGGGGGAGATGAGCTAGCCAGAACAGAGTGGGTGAGACCGAGACTGTAATGCAATACGCATCCAGCTACACCATTGTGCATGAAGCTTTGGGGAAGAAGAAGAAGGGGGGGGGGGGGGGAGACATACCTGCTTCTTCGCAAGAGATGCTGCTTCTCCAAGTTGAGGTTTTGCATCCCAGCCAGGGATCGGGGAGGAGGAGGAGGAAGAGGAGGAGGAGGATGACAGCAGCAGCGGGAGAGGACCACTCTTCATTCAAATTCCTAGCAATCGCTGCTGGGAGGGCTGGATCTGAGAGAGAGGGATGGATGGAGGGAGAGAGGGAGGGAGGGAGAGAGAGAGATTGAAGGAGGGAGAAGGAGGCTGCGCGCGTGCGTGGAGGGAGCCTGGAGGGAGGGAGAGATGGAGTGTGTGCGCGCGTGTGTGTGTTTGTGTGTGTGTGTGGTGCGCGCGCCCGCCTTCCTTCCTTCCTTTCTTCCCCGCGCCCGCCCCCCTTTTACACCCACCAGCCCCCCAACACCCACACACACCCACAAGCCTTCTCCAGTCTTTTCCCGCACATACAACTCCCCCCCCCCCGCCTCGCGTGGGCTGCCTGATTTGCAAACTGGGAGGGGGGGGGGGTGCTCACGCCCTCACGACTCCCTGCGAGACAAGCCGTAGGGATGCTGGATTTTGGAGAGGGGGGGGGGGAGGCAAAAAGGAGCCCAAGGAACCGGGTTTCCTCCGGTCGCCTCCCTGGCAAAGGGGGCCCCAGAGGTTCATTCTGAAGGAAGGGATGCGGGGAGTAGAGTCTCGAGAAGAGAAAGCAGCAATAATGCAAATTATTGGGCTACGCGAAGAACTTGAAGGGGGGGGGGTGTCTCCAAATGGGGAAGATAAGCGGCTGCTGTGAGCTTCCGCCTCTTCATTTTGGGTGTGGAGATTGCACCCCCACTCCCACACACCCGCCTCCAATTCTCAGCGGGGGAAGCCCCAGGGGGGCTTTGAGGCACCCAGCTCTGACACCCCCCCCCTTCCTTCCTAAGCGCCCCAAGAGGCAACAGCTGCTACCTTGCCAGCCTCCCCGCGCATGCGCAGGCGCAACAGCTGGTTGTTGGAATACAGGTGCAAGGGACGGCCCACGCGGGGAGAGCCACCTCAGCAACAGCTCTCTCTTTTGAGGACACAGCGAGGCTGGACCACTCTTCACAATGACCGTGTCAGGCTACACAGGGAAGCCATTGCAATCCACAAGCATGGGGACCGTTTCGACAGAAAGGAGGAAGCCATGCAGATGAGCAAAATCTGGCTAACATTATTTTTTAAAAAACTCTAAAATCTAAACAGTAAATAAAGAAGGCTGAGAGGAGACATGATGGCCATGTATAAATATGTGAGGAGAAGTCATAGGGAGGAAGGAGCAGGCTTGTTTTTTGCTGCCCTGGAGACTAAGGCGCCAGAACAATGGCTACAGGAAAGGAGACTCCACCTGAACACGCGGAAGAACTTCCTGACTGTGAGAGCTGTTCAGCAGTGGAACTCTCTGCCCCAGAGTGTGATGGATGCTACTCCTTTGAAGGCTTTTAAGTAGAGGCTGTATGGCCATCTGTCAGGGGTGCTTTGAATGTGTTTTCCTGCTTCTTGGATGGCCCATGAGGTCTCTTACAACTCTATTATTCTATGAACAACACTTAAAAACAGGAATTCCAGGCAAGAAACCACCAGGGCCAGCTAATCACCTCCCAACAAAGGATCCCCCCAGGGAGTAAATAGCCAGACCTTGAAACTGCTAGGTCATTAAATGCTAATCAAGGTGGCCAATTGCAACATTCACATCTGCCTCAAACAGACATGCATTCTTTCTCCCACCCTGGACATTCAACAGATATATAAATTACACTTGCCTAGTTTCCTCACAATCTCTGAGGATGTCTGCCATAGATTTGGGTGAAACGTCAGGAAAGAATGCTTCTGGAATATGGTCATAAAGCCTGGAAAACTCACAGCAATGCAGCTCTGTATTTCGCTCTTTCTCTGGCCCTTTCCACACAGCGGAATAAAATCCCACATTTTCTGCTTTGAACTGGAGTATATGGCAGTGTGGACTCAGAAGGCCCGATATGGTTGAGAAGAGAGTCCTTCCACACAGGCACATATCCCAGAATATCAAGGCAGAAAATCCCACAATATCTGTTTTGAACTGTGTTATCTGAGTCTACACTCAGATAATGTGGTATTTTCTGCCTTGATATTCTGGGATATAGGGCTGTGTGGAAGGTCCCACCCTGTCCCACATGTGGACCAAACGTAAAGGCAGCCATGAAGACGACAGCTGTTGCAAAAGGTCTCTCCCCCTTGCAGCATCAAAGGACAAAACATAAGCCACAGCTGCTGGGCAGGTCGCCACCGTCCTTCCCAGCTGCTGCAGAGTGTGAGCCTTTGAAAGTGTTTTTGACAGAGAAGCTATTGAGCTTACCTTCAGCCCAGCTGTTTTCTCAGCAGCTGGAAAGCAACGCTTCTGCCTCCCCCATTCCTCAGGTGCAAGCATGTGAGGTACACCTCAGCAGCAAAAGCAGCTGGCCAAAGGCTCTTCCCCCTTCTGCAACAGCTGGTTGAGGTGGTGCGGCTGAGGGAAAACAACCAGAGGCCCCAGGGCAGCTGGAAAATGAACCGCAGGTGCATGCAGGAGAGCAGCCACAGTTGAAAAACCACTGTTGGGTAGGGATCCTGACCCCTAGAAGGAAAAGCAGCTAGCCATGTCTAGGATGTTCACAGCAACAACATGCCACCCACACAGCTGCTTGCTGGCAAACAACAGCCCTTAACAGCCACTGCACCATTGCCACCTGCTTGGAAACAGACAAGAGCATCCAGGGAAGTACCTGCACCTTGTGTGCAATGGTACAATACACACAACATTTGGGCTGGAAAGCATGCCTCATGTACAAATAGGCAACGGCTTGTCTGGGAGACAGACCTTGTACTCAGACAGAGCTGTCTTAGCACAAAGTTACGCTGGGCAGTTGCCCAGGGGACCCATGAAAACAGGGGCTCCATGCTAATCTATGCGGCAACCAAAATTTAAGTCTGATTTTCTGATCATCTGCCTCCACATTCAAATCTCCCATTAACTTAGTAGAAGAAGAAGAAATACAACTTGTAGCAGAGAGTTGGCTTGTCTGAAAGCTATGACTAACTCATAATCAAGAATACAAATGAAATAGTGACAGGGAAGTGAAAGCAGCTCCAAGTGTTCATCTTGTTGTTTCATTCCATTCTTCTCTCACTTTCTTTCTTTCTTTCCTTCCTTCTCAGGGGAACACAACTCTTTTTCTATATTATCTGGTTCAATGAGCAACAACAAAACAGCACTTCACTTAGACGATCCCTCTTCTGAGTATGATGGCCTTCCAAGTGGAGGGTCTTGATGGTGGATTCAAGATGACTATTCTTGACCCACATGTTTTTCCACATTGAGCGTTGCACACCAAGGCTGTGATGAGCATCTCTGAACCCACAAACACACCAATGTTCTTTAATAAGCAAAGCAGTTTATTGAAGATTAATATAGCAAGTGCCAAAAAGGTAAAAGGGAATCACAAAGGAAATATTAGAATGTCCAAAAAAAATTCATAAAGCAATGTAAGGTTATCCAGCAAAGTCCACATCAAGAGAACAGGATAGTTCCCAAGTCCAATTAACCAAGTCCACACAAAATAGTCCTTTAGTCCCTTAAAGAATCAGGAGCAAACTTGAACAAAACCAAATGCAGCAGCTTGAAATCAGGATACAACACTTACAAAAATCTCAGCATAAACACGAATCTGGAGCAAGATCTAACACGAATCTTAGCATGAACAAAAAGACAGGAATCAGGCATGAAAGTTAAAGTTGGACTCACTGAAGAGCATGGATTCACAGGCCCTATATTTATTTAGAAAGCCATGGCAAAAGCATTCCATTTCCCTTGGGAAACCTCTCCCAAGCTCCTTCTTTCTCTTAATCTTGCTGAACGCCTCCTCCCTAGGTCCAGATGGTGCTCATGATAGATTTGCCCTTTGCAATCAAAGATTGCCTCCTCTGGTTTGCTCATTAGTACATTGTTTTCGCTATCTCTATCTAACCTTGCCTGTTCGGCCTCAGCCTGTTTCTCATCAGGCTGTCTCAAGACATCTTTGCCTTGTGAACCAGCAATCTCAGAATCTTCAGTTTCACTCTGGAAAACTGCATTTTTAGGCCACCATCTGCATTCACAAATCCCTGAGAATAATCAGAAACCTGATAATTAAAGTCAGCCATGGGAACCTGTGAAGGGTCCTGGTCATGATCCTTCTCTTTTGAAACCTGTGGCAAAGAGATAATCACAGGCTGAACACCTACACTGCTGACATTGGTTTCCAGGTGGAAGCCAGTTCTGGTCAGAGTTGGCTTGAAACACCTTCCTTTTGACATGTTTTTCCTTTTCACCCTCCATCCGTGCCTCTTCAAATTCCACATCACTGCTGGTCACAGCTGACCTCCAGCTAGAGCACTCAAGGGTGAGGGCTTCCCAGTTCTCAGTGTCTCTGCCACAGTTTTTAAGATAAGCTTTAAGCCCATCTTTAAATTTCTTTTCCTGTCCACCAACATTCCGTTTTTTATTCTTGAGTTGGGAATATAGTAAGTGCTTTGGGAGATGGTGATCAGGCATTTGGACAATGTAGCCAACCCAGTGGAGTTGATGGCGTAGGAGCATTGCTCCAGTGCTGATGGTCTTTGTTTCTTCCAGCACACTCACATTTGTCCGCCTGTCTTCCCAGCATGGGAATGGGAGACAGCCAGTGAGAACTTGGCTATATCCACAGTAGTGGCTGCTATGAGTGTTGGTATAGATAGGGCCCAGTGCACTGCTTTGCCTAGAGGTCTATAATGCATTTTAAATAGCCCTAAACTGTGAAAGAGGTTACCTTACCTTACAGCCAGCTGCTAGGGATTTGAGGAAAAGAAGTCCAAAAATGGCTTTGCCAAGTTCAGCAGAAATCTACCATGAGAAATCTACCATACACCTCCACAATACACAAATCTCTTCCCTGAATGCATATACAAAAGGAAGGAGGCAAGTACCCACAGAAGTTCTCAAACATGCACACCAGCAAGTAGAAGAGCGGCCCACAAACATAGCTTCATCACTGGTCCAAGAAAACAGACTAGGATTTATTTTTGTGGGGAGATACATTATGTGCAGTCCTCAAAGCATCCATGAGGGAACATACAAGCCCTAGACCTTAAGAATGTTCCTGCTTTTGAGATAAATCTATATATATCCATAAAAAGACATGCATGTAGAGCTATTCCAGGATACTTTGCTGCCTGAGGCAAAGGAGAAGATAGTGCTGTATTCTGCATACAGAAGCTGACTGAATTGCTAACTTGAAAACTAAAAATGCAATCAGTTATGTCCTCCAA